CCCCCCCACCCCAATATGCGTGCAAATCTAAAACAAGGGACTTTTTTCCCATGCTGATGGGGGAAAAATACCTAATTTTAGATTCAAGTAAATACAGTACATGTTTATCTGTATAATAGCATAAATGAAATAAGTGTTTTGTCCTTTAACTTTTTCAAGGGAAAAATGTTTAAATCCTTCCTTTTAAAATTGTTCCCCTACCCTGTAACATCTCAGACATCACACGCATTTAAAATGAAAGACATTCCTTGGTAGCCAGGCAATACTAAATCAGTCTGGTAAAAGTTAGGCAGCAGACCAGGGAGGCAGGTGAAGTGTTGGGGGAATTATGGATATGCACTTCTGCTAGAACCTCTATGGCAGTGCTGTTCAACTTAAAAGCAGCCGGGGGCTGAATGCCCCATGGGCTGAACCAGCAGGGGCCAGTGTCTGTGGGCCACTCCAGGGTGAGCTATAGGCCCCCTCTGTTGCACACACTACATGGATGCCCCCCTCCTTGTACTACAGGGGTGCTCCCCTCTGTTTCACAGCCCTGCGTTATGCACCCACACTCCCACGTTCACTGCTGCACCATTCACCTGAGCCTCCCAACACTGCTGTACTGCATGCCTGTGCAGGCACCCCTGTATTGTTGCATTGTGCACTTCCCTTATCATTCATGTCCCTCCCTAACCCTCAGCTCCCTTGGCCATGCTACACTGTGCCACGTGCCTCCTGGGCCAGGGACAGGCAGTGAAAGGCGGAGAAGGAAGAGGGTGCCCAAAGACTCTGGCTGCTGTTGCAGAAGCCTAGGAGGCTGCAACTTAACCCTGTGGGCTGCCTGTTGGACAGGGCTGCTCTACAGGATGTAAACAACAGAAAATCTGGGTAGGAGTACGTGGAGGTGACATACTGGGTTGCCTTGGGATTACGGAGGGCAGGAGCAACCCTTAAAGAACAACCCTGGCATACAGCAGTAATACTTGCAACCTTTCTTCAAGGGCTTATGCCTCAGCAGAGAGACACTTGATTACTCTGACATGGTTGCCTTGGATTCAGGAATCATCAAGGCAGGAGAACATAAATTAAGGAGGAGAGGAACTCCACAGGGAGGTATCAGTCCACCAAAAATTAACAGGGCAGCACTGTTCTAGGCTCCTGGTCTGCAAGAGCATGCATGTAGCAGGCCCCATTCATTGTAAGACCATGACCCTTTTTATTATGCATCAGTTCCTGGTTCCTTTAAATGTAATGTTTAAAAGTTCTGAATAGGATTTGACCTCAAGAGTCTGGGGCAAACTCCCCTCTGTCAGTGTATTGGCATCAGTGTCAAACCATGCATATGCAGCTTCTCAAGAAATTCTGGGGCTGCCACCAAGAAATAAGCATCTACCCTGCCTGCATCAGTACTGTGAATTAGATAATGTATGCTGATCAGAGCAGCCCTCAGCACATGCCTCAGTGCCATGATTAGGCTCTCCATTTGTAGGGTCATTTCTGTGAGCAGAGAACCCTATCAGAGTGCTGGGGCATGTGCTCAGGCTGTCTGTGCTGCCTCCATTGTGGGCTTGGACTCGTGCAAAGCAGGCACAAGCAATGAGGGCTTGTTGATTAGTGGCACTTTCAGGCTCATTCCAGAGTCCATAGAGACAGAGCTGAACGGCAGAATTTGGCCCAGGATGACAACAAATATGTGGGTCTGAGTGTATTACTGAAAAATAGAATTAAACTCTAAAATGTTACAAAATAGCTATTCTCTAACAATATGTGCCATAAACAAAACCATTGTTTTGCGGTTTAAAACCACAACCATTATGTTGTGTGGTATAAAACTTTTACTGGCTCTTATTGGGGATGATCTGCATAACTCATTCGTGCCTTCACCACTCTTGAGTAATATAGTCATCCCCAACTTATGCCAGTATAAATTTAATACCACACAATCCCATATTTCTTTCCCAAGCATTACAGTTATTGTTGGTGCTAAAAAGTTAATTTTGTAGCCCTTTTTCTTGTATTATTCAAAGTACTGAAATGCTACCAATAGGAATGTATTTTTCTTTCTTTATGGTGTCAATTGTTAATGTGTATCTGAAACATTCATTAAAGAAATCAGTTCAAAGGTTTTTATAAATCTGGCATGGCCAGTTCTTATGGAACCCATAGATTAATAAACAGCAACATTTGAAATCTAGAAATACAAGAAAAATACGAATAACATAACTTATTTTAAACAAATTAGTCTGTTCCTTTTAAACGGATATATTTCACAACATAGCCTTAATTGTGGGTAGGCTTTCCAGTGGCAGCTTTTTTTTTTTAAGGTTTGTTCAGTGCCATAAAAAGATCAACCTGTGAAAATGATTTCTTGACTATTTTATACTTGTCCTCAGAATAAATTAGTGAATAGTATGTGCTTTATCTCATAATAAGCATAATTTTAAATGGCCAAATGATGTATCATGAGTCCATTTTGAATATATGCGAAATAACCTATTTTTCTTTATTCATGTAGAAATTGTCTTCTGAGAGACCAAGTTCAGATGGGGAGGGTGCTATAGAAAATGGAATCACTGCTGTGTGTAATGGAAAAGAACAAGGTGAATCTTTGAAGAGCATTTTTCAGTGTTTGTTAAATAATTAATAAAAACATTGTTTCTTTTATGGTTTAGGGCACAGGCATGAGATGTATAGCCTATGGAGCAGCAGCATCAGGCCTTTGTGGCTCCTGAACAAAGTGGGAATTTGAGGGCAGAGCCTGACACTAATATCTGGAGTACAGAGCTCTACTGGGGACATGTTTCAGCCCCCGTTGAAACATGTCTGTGTTAACCCTTGAAGCTCCCTGATGCTGCTTGCTCTACCACCAGAGATGAGTCCAGATCTGGCCTGCAAGGAGCCACACAGTCCAGATCCAGCCTGCGTGGCCAAGTGAATTTGATGCCTCTGATTGAGGCAATAGGTAGAAATGTTTTTAAATACCGCTGATAGTGTTTATCTTTATCTTAAGTACTTATCTTGAAATTCAAACTATGCCAAGTCTGAATTACTAAATATTTCACACTTGTGGAATTCAGGGTATATCCATTCTATTTCAGTGTGTCCCTCTGCATAAAAGTGATGTAACTGATAGCAGAATCAGATCCAGTATGTAAATCTAAACTGGATTTTTCCTGTATTCGTAAAGCACAGACTCTGTTATGGGGACATTTAGCCAACTATGTGTAGGGTTTTCCCCTAGGTGCATGTATAATTTTAAACAGGAAAACTGTCATAGAATTTTACAAGGAAAGACAAGAATCATATATGCTAAATTACTTTAAAATGATGTACTCCACGTTAGAGCCATAAAGTTTATTCCCAGTTCTTATATTCCAAACAGAGGGACTTTCCAAATCTAATGGCAATTTTGCCTGACTTAAATCTACAAAATCAATCCCCAGATGATCCTTTTTCGGTTAAAGAAAACAGTTCTGTAAATTTGTTAGACCAAACTAGTTTAAATAGTCAGCTTGAGGTATATAGATATTTTTGTTCAAATGACCAAAATTAACTTAATCAACACTGCTCTGCAGCTGTCAAAATAAAAAGGTGATGTAAGCTGCATTGGAACACGATTTTATCAAAATTGGCTTTTCGGCAAGTACTGCATCTTTTTTTCTTGACTCAAGTAGACTTCTGTTTACTATGGGTGTTTTAGTTTATGATCTTTGCCATCTCCCTACTTCCTTCTACCAGCAGAGTCTATATCAGTCTCTCAGACATAAAGATCTTCATACCACAATCAAGACTGCAGAGTGAAGTAGTTAACTATGGCCGTGGTCAGTCTGTTCTAAAAGGAGGTGGATTTGCCAATCAGGAGCATGCTTTAGCGGGACCAATAAAGGGGTTCACTAGAGGTGCATTGGTGCAATGTCCAGCACACCTACAGCCTAGGGAATGACCTGCTGGGTGGCACGGAAGTGGAAAGGGATCTTGGAGTCCTAGTGGACTCCAAGATGAACATGAGTTGGCAGTGTGACGAAGCCATCAGAAAAGCCAATGGCACTTTATCGTGCATCAGCAGATGCATGACGAATAGGTCCAAGGAGGTGATACTTCCCCTCTGTCGGGCGCTGGTCAGACCACAGTTGGAGTACTGCGTGCAATTCTGGGCGCCACAATTCAAGAGGGATGCGGATAACCTGGAGAGGGTCCAGAGAAGGGCCACTCATATAGTTAAGGGCCTGCAGGCCAAGCCCTACGAAGAGAGACTAGAGAAACTGGACCTTTTCAGCCTCCACAAGAGAAGGTTGAGGTGACCTTGTGGCTGCCTATAAGTTCATCACGGGGGCACAGAAGGGAATTGGTGAGTATTTATTCACCAAGGCGCCCCCGGGGGCTACAAGAAATAATGGCCACAAGCTAGCAGAGAGCAGATTTAGATTGGGCATTAGGACAAACTTCTTCACAGTTCGAGTGTCCAAGGTCTGGAACGGGCTCCCAAGGGAGGTGGTGCTCTCCCCTACCCTGGGGGTCTTCAAGAGGAG